TTTCCTTGATCCTTTTTTCAGATCTGGGGTTTTTATAACTGAAGGAGAATTCAAATAAATCAGCAACCAGAGAAAATGCCAAACAACCACAGTCAAACTTTCCCAGTATTTTAAACTAATAGAATCCCTTCTCAAGATATTATGCCTAACAGGATTTGATTGCGCTTTCTCAGCCGGAGAATTTCTGTCAGTACCTCTGCCAAGTGCACGGTCTCACGGAGGGAGGATTTGATAGAGATCCAGGTTAAGTCAGCCTCTTCATTCAGAGACAGTGACTGCCAGCCCCACACAGGCTGCAGCGAGGCCACCCAAATGTTGAGTTTCCACCGAGGAAAGCCAAGTTCCCCACACTCGTTTTTTATTTTTGCAACTGTAGCAGGGCTGTGTCCTTGGGTTCTTTCCATGCCAAATAAAGCGTCTGCACATTTTGTCTAGTTCATTATTGTACTGTTGAGGCACTTTATACCAGGAACACCTGGAAAAGTAGAGGTCTGAAGAAACAGATTCATTTCTGACAGGTTAATCAACCCGAGGGTAAGAAATTATTGTGCTAGATCTGTACACACATTTGCAGCTTGCCTTGCAAGGGCAGCTTGTGAAGATTAAACTGGCTGGGAATATTCTGAGCCCTAGGCACAGAGCACTCTGAGACATGGCTAACATAAAATGCTCCAAGGCGGAACCTGCCATCCAGCACAACCACGTAAATCTGGAGTAACACAGGTTGCTTCGAAGATGTTACTTCATATCCACTTCACCCAACAGAAGGACAGAATTTGAATGAATTACCCATGAACATGGAATAAAGGACATGTCCAGTAAATAATACATTTCTGGGTTTTCTGCCCTTCATGACTCTCTCTCATAAATGTTTCAGCCTCAGTCTGATTGCTGCTTCACTATGTCAGCCAAAAAAGCAAACTGAGCAGGTGCATTTTGGTGTTGTTCACATCTGAAGCTGTTAAGCCTCAAGGTGAGACAGACACACAGGAAAAACCCCTGATTTCTGAGTGTGACATTGTCCTCTCCAGAGCCATAACTGAAACCCCCCAACACACATTCTGTGACTGCTCTTGGTCAGATATGGCTTTTGTTTATTTTTTATCTATTTCTGAACTGAAAAATAGGGGAAGCAATGTTAAGTTCATAAAAATCAGTTTGGTCCCAGAGTGTCAATTGAAGCATTTCGGCATTTATGGAATGATTCATTTCACTCTGAAGAAGTCAGTATGAAGTCTCACAGTATTTCTCACCCTGCACAATGCTGCCACACCGGCTGGGACTTGACACCAACTTCTGAGTAGTTTTGGTTCCTCCAAAACTTAATTTTTAAGGGGATGTTCATTCAGCGAGTAATGAGTCAAATTTATCCAACATTACTGTTGGATCCTTTCTATTCACTTACTTTATTCAGCAGCTGCACAATCTCTATAACAATACCTTCCAGAGGTAAGATACCTGATTGGAACCAGCCTCTGTTCCCATAACTTGCTGCATGAGGTCAGGTTGTTGTCCCCATGATTGGATGCACCCAGACACACCCCTACTGTGTTACAGATGCTCTTGGTGCTCCTGACCAGCAATTCAACACTAACTTGGGAGCAAAATGCCTTAGTGAGATTTGAAGAGCTACATCCACGACTGGAGACACACAGACTGTTAAGAAACATCCTTTTCAGAAAATCTGAAACTACTCAGTTTTAATTTCAACTTTCTTGCTGAGCTGACCATCGTATTTTAAGCCTGTCAAATGTGTTTTATCAATGTGAAATACTGTTTATTTTTGCTCATTTTTGCACTTTCCAGATCTTTACTGAGCAGACTCTTTCCGGCATTTCGCCCCCGATGTAGCTTATTGTAATTCATTGCTCATGACTGCCAAGAAATGACAATTCCAAAATACAGTTATTTTGCTCCTAGAAATTCCATCATTTTTTCATTATAGCCAGTCCAGCAGAAAGCAACCAGAAAACTGAGATGAGCCTCTTAAATAGGGCAATGATGAAACCTCAGTTATAGATTTGTGCATAATTCTGACATGTCCAGCTACAGAAGAGTAACCTTAGTCTCAGCAGAACAAATGACCACCTGCACATTCTCACTGTCTGAGAAATTACTTCCTCCATCTTGTCCATTCTGCTGTTATTTGCTCTCCTGTGTTCTCCATTAGGACTGTCTTTCCCTTGCCAAAACCAAGAAAAAAAGGATACGTTCTTGCTGGATGTAGACTTTGTCCTCGTGTAGGGGTTTTATTCACTTTACTATTTATTTTGCAGGAATGTTTTAAACATTTTTAATAATAGAATTACACTGATGAGACCTAGTAAAGGAGTAGGTATAAATTACTCTTGCCCTTTTTGCAGCTTAATATTCCCTCAGTTCAGAGGGAGAAATTGCCAGCCTGGCAGAACTAGATCCACAAGGGATGGGGCGTTTTAATGGTACTGGCACAGCTGGAATGATCTGGCTGATGGGTGTAGACAAAAAAACAACAGTTTTTTGTTGTCAAGGGTCAAAATGGGAATTATCTGAAGGGACAGCATTCCATGATCTGCAATACATTTCCAGTGTTCATTGGTATTCCTACTGGGAAGCAGAAAATTAGGGGCTATCTATACCTGTCATCTACAGAGCCACCTTGAAACCCCATAATGAAATATCAATAACTGAGGATAGCTTTTTGCTAAAAAGATTACTGACAGGCATAAAATAACAATCACCAGTAGCTATAAATGCATTTTATGTCTTGGGTATTTTCCTGGCAGACTATAGTCTTTCACTGAGTTAGGCAGTAGCAGTCCTAGATTTGGATAACTTGTGTTCAGAAGAATAGCAGAATGTTTTTTGAGGTGCTGGAGGAAAAAAAGTGGAGCTTATTTTTTAAATCAGTGTACCATAATTCTCCTTGGTTAGCACAACAGCATAATTCCCTCCACATATTGAGTGGTCCATTTCAGTTTATTCTTTTTGCAATATGCTGTATGTAAAGAGGAAGGAGATGAGATAACTCTTCCTGGAGAAAATCCAGAATGTTAATTAAAGAAATGGCATTTTGGCATTCATTCCTTACTTGCTGGAGTTCATGCCCATACTGGTATTTCATGTCTTGCTTTCCTGTTAAGAGCTTTCTAAGATGACCTTCTCTATAAATGTCTTTTTTTTTCCTGCCTCTAGAGTTCCTAAAAACAGAGACACAACATAACCACTTATTTGGCACTAGAACAGTCACACAAGGTGGACCTGAGTGTCAGGTCAGCAGAACCCCCAGTGGGCTGGGTGACAGCATGGGTTAGTGCTAGACAGACTGGAGGAACGGCATCACATTTGGACCCCAAAGATTAGAAGTCACATTCCTATACCTTGATACATTGTATGTAAAGCCAGAGTGCTTGAAAAACATTGAGTTTCTCAAATTCATGAGGTCAGTTTAGGATTTGGAGTCTTTCAGGCAGCATATCCATATACACCTTTTTTTTAAGGCTTCTTGATTTTTGATTCATGTTTTCATGCTTTTCACTCTACTACATTAACTAATTCAATGTAAACATGAAGGATGTTTGAAAGTGGACACTTATGTAAGCTGTTTATGCCAATGGCTGTGACTTTAATTAAATCACCACAACATCCAAATGAACCACATATAGTCTGACACTTTGCTTCAGAGGCCTAGGACTGAGAATAAAGATTTTTTTTTTCATCAACTCACAACTTTCAAAACCCTTTCTGCAAATAATTGCTAATAAATGCAGCAACATCTGCTGGTCAAAGAAGTGGCACAACTTTTAATTCCAATCAGA